GAAAGCAATAAGCCAGAGACCACACAGAACTTGTGCCATTGTCAACAACCCGAGAAGAAAATGAGGCATAGTCGATCCTGAGGACAAGACAGACAGACAAAATGAGGCTCTATCCAGGCGATAAAAGAGAACTAATTCATGTTGCATGCATCTTTGACATAATTAAGAGCATTACATTTATCATTTTTCATATACATAATTTTTGCAGCTTTTATAGTCAAGTTTCGACTTCAAGATGAAAGATACTCGATCCAAAAACACCTTTAATGATCGATGGTGGTTGTTTAACTCAACAGCGAGAAGCCACACCTCAACTAACTTGACATATTGAAAGATTGACAGATCTCAGAATTAACTTCAGACGGATTAGAGAGCCAATTCAGAACGAATCCAGTTCAGCTTAACTCAATTACGAGTGACTATTTTTCAGTTAAAAGCCAGATTTCAACTCCACGATGGATAATATTCGACTGACAGACTACCTCACTTGTCTTTCTCACAAAGAGGAGTCACTCGAGGAACATCTCACATGACTTTCCCGTGAAGGGGAGTCATCCAAAGATCACCTCACCTGGTTCAGACCCGCTAAGGGAAACCACCTGAGGAATATACCACATGACTTTCCTGTGAATGGGAGTCATCCAAAGATCACCTCACCTGGTTCAGACCCACTAAGGGGAACCATCTGAAGAATATACCACATGACTTTCCCGTGAAGGGGAGTCATCCAAAGATCATCTCACCTGGTTCAGACTCGCGAAAGGAAACCACCTGAAGAATATACCACATGACTTTCCCGTGAAGGGGACTCATCCAAAGATCACCTCACCTACTTCAGAACCGCTAAGGGGAACCACCTGAGGAATATACCACATGACTTTCCAGTGAAGGGGAGTCATCCAAAGATCATCTCACCTGGTTCAGACCCACGAAGGGGAACCACCTAAAGAATATACCACATGGCTTTCCCGTGAAGGGGAGTCATTTAAAGAATTATGACCGGTTTAGACCCGTGAAGAGGAGTCGTTGTTCACTTAAAGGAACTATTTGCAGCATAGCTCAAGGCGGGAAGGGTTATCTTTCAACCAAGACCTTTGAGTTTGATTATATTCAGTTCAAAGACATATCAAATTTACAGCATAACTCAAGGCGAGAAGGGTTATCTGTTAGCAAAGACCTTCGAGTTCGATTACATTCAGCTCAAAGGCGTATCGAATTTGCAGCATAGCTCAAGACGATAAGGGCTATCTGTCAACCAAGATCTTCGAGTTCGATTACATTCAGCTCAAAGGCATATCGAATTTATAGCATAACTCAAGGCATAAAGGGTTATCTGTCAGCAAATACCTTCGAGTTCGATTACATTCAGCTCAAAGGCATATCAAATTTATAGTATAACTCAAGACGAGAAGGGTTATCTGTCAACAAAGACCTTCGAGTTCAATTACATTCAGCTCAAGGACATATCAAATTTACAGCATAACTCAAGGTGAGAAGGGTTATCTGTCAACAAATACCTTCGAGTTCGATGTCATTCAGCTCAAGGGCAGGTCAAATTTACAGCATAACTTAAGTCGAGAAAAGCTATCTGTCAACAAAAAACTATCGAGCTCGATTCTATTCAGCTCAATGACACATCAAGCATATGTAGCATTGAGAAACTAATTTCTGGTTGAAGCTAAGGTCTTTAAGTCAAGAAGAAGATCTGGGGCAATCTCTCAGCTTAGTAAAACATAACTCAAGGCGAGAAGGGTTATCTGTCAATGAAAACTTTCAAGTTCGATTCCATTCAGCTTGATGACGTATCAACTACTTTCCGGTTAAAGTTTAAACCCGGGGCCTTTAAGTCAAGAAGAAGACTTGGGTTAGCTGTGTTTTAGTGACAAGAAACTATCTTCCAACATCATAGCTCAAGGCGGGAAGGGTTATCTATCAACGAAAACTTTCGAGTTCGATTCCATTTAGCTTGAGAGCCTATCAATCAGATGGTAGTATCGAGAAACTACTTTCCAGTCGAATTTTTAAACCAAGGTCTTTAAACCGAGAAGAAGACCAAAGTTGACTATGATTTGGCAACAAGATGCCAATTTCCGATTTACTTACGATTTTGACTTCACAACGAAGGATATTGTACCCCAAAAGATTGACCAAACTTTACGAAGAAGGAGTCATCTGTAACACAACAAGGAAAAAACCAGTTTCATGCTAAAGTCGTCGGGTCAGATTTCAACTTTTCGACGAGATATATTAGGCTAGAAGATGATCCAGGGGAAACTTTCCAACTCTTTGAGTTCAGTTTCAACTTTACGAAGAAATATATTGTGCTCGGAATTTTTAGTTCAGCTCAACTTCACGGCGAGAGAATCATTTTGTGATTTAGTCCAAATTGAGAAACCAATCATGTTATCGGATTTCAACTCTACGACAGAGGATATTCGATAAGTGGGGAATCATTTCCATAACAGAGGACTAAATGATAAATTCAAGATGGACGAAATTGGTGTCTTTTAATCTTTGCCCTATTCCCGTTACATGACCCTGGGCAAAGAGGGGCAGCTGTAGCCACCTATTTTCGTCCGATCCAATTATACAATATAATATAAACATTTTATTTATATTATGAAAATCGCATGGTTTTTTAGTACATATTATATTTTTAATAATTTTGGGTTTTTTTGTGTAGGCACAAGTCGGCCTTGTCAAGCCACACATGCAAAGAAGGTTAGGATTTTGTGGCTTCCCCCTTTAGCGTCGCCTGACCAGCTTTCGAAGGATAAACTGGCGAGAGTCCCAACCGCAACCAACTCTCATTCCACCTTTTCCGGTGACGTGTCCTTGTGGGGCACCAACAAGCAACAAAATATAAGCGTTTTAGTTCCAATAGGAAACGCTAAAAATAGCTTATCTTTTTACTATATATGCGCATGTAACTAGACTCAGAGGGAAAAAATACGAGTAGAAAATATGGGGAGATTCAAAAGAAAATCAGAAAAATAACGAGGAAACAACATAAAAGCGAGAGGAGAAGCTTACCTTGGTCGGAGTAACGTCGGGAACACCAAAGGTCACCGATTTCTCGGTTTATTTTCGAAAGGTAATTCCTAGATCTACGAGTTTATGGGGATTTTTAGGTGAAACTAAGTTGGTTTTCGGGTTGGGAAGGTGAGAGGAAGTTTTTAAGGGTTTGAGTTTACTCCAGCCGTCGTGTGTCGCCACAAACCGCCACGGCTGGCGCAGACAGCGCCTATCTTTTCTTCCCTAGTAAAGGGAAGTTGAGAGAGATTTTTAGAAACTCTCTCTCTCTCTTTGTCTTGAGAAAATGAAAAAAATGAGGGAAAATGAGAAATTAAGCCTTGCATGTAGGCTTATATGTCCCCCACGAAATGACGTAGTTTCAAAGGGGGACTTGTGCGCGTGGGTAAATCCCACTTTGGGTCCTTCTATCATTTGTAATATTTCATTTTAGCCATTGAATGATGCTTTGTTTTCTTTTATTTAGATTAATGATGTTTTAATATTTTCAATTTAGTCATGTTATCGTACAGTGTATTGTTAATTTTTGAATTTGGTTACAATGTTTGCAATTATTTTATTTTGGTCACTATAATTTATATTTTTAATTATTTCGATTTTTAATATGTAATTTTGGATAATTTATATTTTAGTTCTAATGGTATGGGTTTATTATGTTTTAGTATTTGTAATGTGTTGTTTTTACTGTATGTGTTGTATTTTTTATTTTATTTTTTAGGCATTAGCTTTTCGATTTTATTAATTAGTCCCCTAACCTTTTTATTTTTCTCTTGCATACTATTTTTTAGCATGAATTTGGTCTGTAAATTTTAATTCATCCCTATTTGATCCTTTTTTTTATCTCACTACCACTAGTGTGCCCATGTCTCCCTCTGATAAGAAAAAGTTGAATAAAGTGTGGGAGTATAATTATTTTGTCACTCTAGTTGGATGGCAATGAAGCATAAATTAATAACTTTTCATTCAAAAAAAAATCTCTACATCATTCATTTGATTTGGCTCAATCTTTCCCTTTTTCAACTTTTTGATTTTTTTTCCTTTTGGAATAAATTTTTTTTTTCCTTCTTTGAACGTTTTTTCCTTTTTTTCTTTGAAATTTCACTCTTTTTATTATTTATTTATTATTTTATTTGTTTACTTGAATTTTTTTTATTTTTTTTAAAACGTGATTTTATATTTAATTAAAAAACTTTTTCTTGTTTTTATTTTTTTTATTTGATATTTATTTTTTTTTATTTTTTTGCGATCTAACATTCTTTTTGAGCTTTTTTAGAGAAATTCCAACCAATTAAAGGTAAGCAATTCGAATTGAATTTTTAAATTTTAATTTTCACAATTAAGACATCCGACGAATTAATTGGTACCGAAAGGGCAGTACAAGGGTGCTAATCCTTTTTTAACTGTAATCGACTCCTGAACCCGACACATTTGGTATAACGCAGATTAGGTAAGATGGTATCCGATCAACCTAAAATTATTTTTAAATAATCGGTTGCGACTCTAATCATTTTATTTAAGTCGAAACCTAATTTTTGTTCCACCCAAAAGACCGCGACAGAAGAAAGGAAAGAGAAACTGTAAAGTGGCTGAAACTGTTGATTAATTTAATGAGATATGCAGCATGAGAAAATTGAGCAGACCCTAGTTTTCTTTGAAGATGATGACGGCGGTGGATATGGTTATGGTGGCTATAGTTATACCTTTCTTTTCCCCCTGCTTTTGGTATTAAACTAAAAAGTGTCATGCTCCAGCTAAAAGTACAGATGCAAACACTTGTAATCCACATAAAACTCTTACCATTTTAGCTCAGTCTATCACAAGAATATGAGTATGGACCTTAATTTATCCATCCTTATAAAAATAGACGGATCAAATTGTATCAAATTAAAATACAATGATTAAATCACAAATCTGAGCCTAGTACATAGATCAAAATCAGAATTTGACCAATTTTAACAATACCGTTGTTGATATTTGCTAACCTGTTCATTTATGAATGTTCAAATTACAGAGTACAAATGAATGGGGATTAACTTTGTACATACATATATGCATGCATGAACTCATTCTGACTTGAGTCAAATTCAATGATGGTTTGAGATTAAAAGCAATAAGTCTGTGTTTTGTGGTCCTTTTGCATCCATTCAAGTTGATGTTGCAAAACCTTGTTCAGATCCACCAAAGACCTTGTTCAAGATCATGGATAATCTAACTCCTCCTTGAGTAATCCTTTTCATTACAATAGGCATCCTTGAATCGAAGTATTCCTCTATAAACCGTCAAGGAACAAGAAGAACACAGTATTAATGGTGTATTTACGCCTTTAGATATGGGTCGAATTATGCTCTCAGCCCTTACATGCTCTCCTTACAATTGAAATCTTGTTTCTCTAGTTTTAATTCCAAATATTCGGTCCTATTAGGTTTGGTATAACCTGTAATCAACTTATTGACCAACTAATTTGAATTATGTACTGCAGATATCAATTACGAGAGCAACTCTTCCAATCAAGTTTGTTCTATTCATAATATCATGATTCTATTCTAGACGTTATTTATTGGATTTAGTGTCTCGTCCAAAGAACTTATAACTGAGAGCATAATTAGACCTTTCAAAACTGTGAAAAAATGGTATCGGTTTTCAATGCTTTACGCAATAATTTACGTACCTGCCAGTGTTTGTCCAGACTTTACGCCTTTGTAACCCCATTTGCAAGCTATGTTTATACTCTCTGTAGCATACCTACAAGTATGAAAACGGCAACTTTGATTAAACAATGAACAAATAATCGAACATGTTATTCGGATTCTTCATTTTCTTTAATCAATCGTGTTAAATATATTAATATATACGAGTTTGAGCAAAATAGAAAAACATTTTTTTTAATTCACTAGATTGGTTTATAGTTGTTCTAAGGAGGGTTGAGGCTTACTTGTTCAAGCATGGAAGAAGATCATCACATTGTTCCCATGATGCAACATCATCATACCAAATTCCCTGTATGAAAGTAACAAGTATGGTTGATTATGGGGTAAATATACATTTTGGCTCTTATATTTTTTTCAGTGTTCAATTTGATACCTAAACTTCTTTTATTCAAGTAGATATGTATAAAAATTGAACTTACATCAGTGAAATTCCCTACTAAGTCTTCTTGAAGGCTATCCAAGTTCTTTTCATAGTAATCTGCAAGAGCTGTAAGGATGATCTCCCTGTCCCACACCTATACTTTGTTGAAATTCACCAATGTGAGTTAATCAATTACTCTCAGTTAAGCATAAGTTCGGTTTAACCGGATAATACTCACATGATGCAGATTCGATTTGTGCCGAAACCACCGCAATGCGATTGTGTTCCCTCCTTCGTCATTCGTGAATCCGACGTGCATCGGCTGATGGATATCTCCCATGAAGTGTGACAAGAACAACAACGCTTCTGTCATGTTATCTGCAGAGAAACAAAGAGACACTTTTGGTATCGGGTCAAACATAACGAAGAACGATGATCATCGAGTAATAAGATTTTGTTACGGCGTCGGTCCGAAGATCCCTCCCTGAAGTGCACAAGCTGTGAGGTGAAGTTTTTGATTGCACCGGCAACACACATGTCCTTTACACCATGCTGATCATGACAGTCCCCTAAAACAAATGACAAATTTCGCATTACTTGTATGTAGTTCAGTATGATCAAAAGGATCGCCAGGCTTTCCGCTTACTTGAATATTGATACGAGCAAGCATCGTCCGGTGTATCGATGAAGTGAAGCGGACTTGTCCATCGATACTTATACCAATGCCGGATTTGGTCCGGCCATACACAGAGGGACGAAAGGTCTCCGTTGGCATAGTCTGGCAGCAAATTTTCAACAGCTGCTGCAGCCTCTTGCTCTAATAGACCCTATTGCAAATGACAAGTAAATTGTCCATGTTACATGTGCTTTTAGACAAGGGTTATGTTATAATCCGACCCGACTCGACTCGATTCATTGGATTGTGTCGTGTAAACATAGTCTGAAGTTGTCTTTCTTTATCATCCTCAAGTGTATCTCTAAACGTTCAATCTCACGTCATATTATGTTTTCAAGACATGGCCCGACGAGTCAAGTCGGGTCGGATGGCTATTGGTTAACCGAGTAAACGAAAGCAAAAACGAAAGGAACAATGGAACAAACAGTACCTGAGCAATCCGACACGTCAAAATGTGACCTTCTTTGCTCCAACCATGGGTTCCGGGCACTAAAACCAGAGCCAGAACCACTAACAAAACAACCCCAAACGGAGACAGCCTCCACAACACGACCATTCTCGATGTCTTTCTTGTTTTATCAGCCTCAACGACAAAGAAACTTGCACCATAACAACGAGTTCATCATGTATAAATAATACAAACAGCTAGGTGATCATTGAGTGTAAGTTTGCATTTCCACAGTTTCACGTTATCCAAAAGTTTGACCTCACACATGCAATGTGGGGGCATATAAGGCATATTCTGATATATGTGCGAGTTATCAATAAGATAAACCTGAACTTAATTAACTACAATTTTCTTTTCTTCAAAGTTAGAAATCAATAAGATAAACCTAAAATTTCATGTGTCTTAAGCTTGTGGGTCCTGTAGTTATACGTTTCCGATTATATTTAGAGTTAGATAATATTTTTATGCAGATGTCACGTACTTAAAATTCTTTTAGGATTGATTCTTTTATATAAAAGACTCGAACTAATATTTAACATCAAACATTTTATCATTCGATCCAACAAATATTGATAAGTTATAAATAATATATATAATGACATGGTCCTGCATTTTGGCAGTAATTGCGTTATTTGATGCTTGTCGGCAATTGTATCAACCGGTCATGCATTCAGGTCACGAGATAATACCTACGCAAACGTAGCTATGGAGGTGCCTTGCACGAAGAAGAAAAGGAAAGGGGTTAATTCCATCAAAGGTCCAAAACTATTGTCTACATTTTAAATTAATCTTCAAGATATCAAACTTGTTTCAATCAAACCATTTTATTAATCTATATGTCAATTATTTTAAAAGATAAACCAATATTTAATCCTTAAGCTTAACAAATTTTCTCAACTTGATCCTTCAACAATTTTAGGTAAAACCCTAATCTTTATTTTCACATTTGCCTATATCCCATATTCTTTATCGATCAAACTACTACAGAGCCAAAATAAAGAAAGAAATGAAGGCAGCGATAATAACAGCTGCAGGAGGGGTTGCAATTAAAAACAAGTTGATGACCCAGAAATCAAAGAAGATGAAGTCGTCATCAAGGTCGAAGCCACCGTTTTAAACCGGGCCAGTACCCCTCCGTAGGAAAGGTTCATACCCTCCTCCAAGGGGTTCTAGTCCTTACCCTGGCCTTGAATGTTCCGGCACCGTCCTAGCCGTTCAAAAAAACTACCCTGTTGGTCATCAAACTATAAGATTTTATACTTTGGTTACTGAATTTTCTGTTTTGGTCATCATATGTTAAAAAACTAACAAAAATGGTGATGTGATATGATCAAATAATCATTTTAATTTTAAAACTATTAATTTGATTCTAATTCAAAATAAATTAATATATTTAGCCCTTCAATAACACGTGTTATTTTCTTATTGATAAAAAATATTTTGAATTAAAACTAAATTGACAAAATGTGTACATTTTATACGTTAAAATTCTAAAATTATTATTTTATCGTGTCGTGTTCTCTCCTTTAAATTTAAACATAAATTTAATAATGATCAAAACAAAAAAAATCTATTTCTAATAATAACAAAAGGCCGATTAAATTTAAAATCAAAGAGTTTGGTTAACTAATTGATTGATTTGTTAAGAATTAATAAGTGTATGTTAGCATCTCACAAACTTTAAGTTGAATATCGTTTTCGAGTTGACTTCGTGGAATCTTCACCAACAAACATGACGCCATTTGTATGCCCCTTCAAGCCAGATAATTTGATCAATTTATTGAATACTAAGCTTTTGCAAATAAATATATATTAAATAAGTCCATGACCTTCGTTACTTCATTTAGATGAGCCCTTGTGCATTTGAAATAAGGGTTAAATTCAATACAAATCAATGCATAAAGGCTTGTTTATAGATATAACAAAAGTCTAGGGGTATATTTAACAAAAGTAATCAGATAATCTAGAGCCTTGTTATCGATGCGATTCTTTTAATTTCATTTATTTCATTCATAACATCAAAATTCAAACTCCTCGCTTTAAGTTTAAAAAAATAATCTCATGTCATTAATTTTTCTTAAAAACAACAATTTTCTTGTATCCATACCATAATAATAAGAAGAAGAAGTAGGCATAGAAATCAAGGCTTCTTTGGGTATTTATATTATATTTTCTCAAACATATCATTAAACTAATATGCAAGCAAGCAATCGTGTAGAAAGGAAAATGACAAGTAGCGGCGGATGTAAGTAGAATTCAAGTGGTCCCTTCTTCGTTCTCAAATTTAATTTTTTTTTATCTTAATTGTTCATTTTATTAAAAGTAACTATCCTAAAATATTATTTGTGTCCATCCCATATGATTTTTTTTTGTTATTAATACATATATATACCTATTCTAAAAAATATTTTCGGACACATGTTATGCTTTTTAATACACTTAAATAATTGAGCTGTAGTCCTGTGATAAAATTGGTATGTTGTCTATAAATGATTCGAATTCAACTAGCATTGTACAATTGCAATTTGACCCTCATAAAATCATAATTCCATTCTATTTCTTAAAATGTTCCTGTCTTTGCCTCTTATAATTAGCACCCATGTAGGCCTTCAACCTTTTAATTTGTGCCCAAATAAGCTCCGCCTCTTTAATTTCAAACGGACTCATTTGAATGAAAATCAAAGTATAAAAGCTTGTTTGGATACAACAAAAATTAAAAGGATTATTTAACAAAAGTAAATTAGTTAAAGGGCTCTTTTAACATTTTAGCTCGTATGGATAGGATTTATATATTTAATGCATTCTTTGTGTATGAGTTTAAACCTCATGTTAACAAAACAGTTGGCAGGTGAAAGAGATTAAATTTCTATCGCTTATCTTATTTCTTAAATATATAATAAATCTGTCGTTCATCCAACGAAAGGTCGGCACCATATCTGTAACGGACATTGGAATGTAAGACTTGACAAAGTATGTTCTTTTTCTCCCGTTCCGTTCCCATTCCTCAATCTTCGTTGTTCTTTGACTGTAACAAAATCAGGCATCATCTTACCATTTTTTCCCACTAAACAAAAAAACATTCTACGTACAGTCAAGTTTCAAAACCTGTCTATTTGGACCAGAAACCAAACAAGATATTGTCTGGTTTTGTTGACTTCATCTACTCCCCTCCACCGTCCACGGTTCTAACTGTTATAGCGGGTTTTTTCTCGAGTTACTACGAGGACCACCTTATCGTTTAGTCATGTAATTTCCAGGATGTTTCTTTTATTCCATCCGGTTGTCAATTAAACCGTCTTTTATCTCGAGTAGACGAGTTAAAGTGGTTGTAAACTCAGTCAAATTTGATCCTATCAATCTGAGTTTAAAGAATTTTGAGTTATTTGGTTTAGACTATTTTATATTATGATAATTTAGATTAAAAACAATTTAAAAACTCGAATAAAATAAAATACAAACAGGTCTTATTATATCGACGAACAAACCACAAAAGATTATCACACTACTAAAAGATCATTAACAAATCGTTAATCAGAACTAAACGACTTGAGAAAACTATCCACAAATACAAACTACGAATCAAAATTTAATCATGTGATCTAAATTATATGTGACATCTCAAGTGTATAATTATTTTCTCCTTTTAATAAAATTGTCGAATTCTATTAGGAATAATATGAACTTAAACCATAAATAGAACAAATGGCATTCAAAAGAGTAAAATTAGGCTTTAGAATTTACATAACCTTTTAAAATTTAAGTTTTTTTTTTAGTTTTGCAAATAAAATTATAATTTTTAAATAGAACAACCGTTATTGCCAGAAATAATTATGTTTTAATTTCAATTTAGCGTAATAAATATATAACTCAAAATTTAATCTATAATAAATAATAACAACATATTTGGTTCACAAGTATACAAATGTGAACCCATACTTATTTGTCCAACAACAATACCTGGACAAGATCCTATGGTGAAATGTGCAAAGTTTTCTAGTAATATTCAAATCTCCATACTTGATTTAATGGTAGTTGTACAACTACCTTGCACTTTCCTCCCTTTATACACACTGATTAATGGAGTCAACTCTATCTTATCCATATAGTATTGTATCCAAAAATTCGTAATATAATCTATTTAATGAAGAAAATAAAATTATGAAATATATATATATATATATATATATTAATCTTATGTCTATTCTTTAAATAATGAATTTTTAATTATTCTATTTAAAAATAATTTATATAAAATTCCCTATAATAATATAAATAATTCCAATCAAGTGTTTGAAATTGTCAAAAGTTACAATAATTAATTTTTTTTTTAAAAACATGATTGACTAAATATCTTTAACAATTTATTAATTTTTTGTTTGATTTTCAATAGGCTTGACCAATAAAACTAGTGACACCTATATCATCTTATAGATAATTCTTGTAATATATATAGAGAAAGGTCACGTCATTTAGCTAACATTCTTAAACTCATCACATATACAATATGAATTGATATATATATGTATTGTAATTTAAGATTCATAATTTGTTTAATTATTTTAAAGACAAATAAATTCTAAATTTAATATTCATATTTAAAAAGCTATTTTGGTGGACAAAAATGACATGAAAATGATAATTAAAGAGTTGAAAATGAATTAATTTTTTTGTCGTGGCGTCTTCATCTATACATACACATGCAATGCACAATTTATTAGATATTTATTTGGAAAATATCTGCTTAAACCATCCATATACATATTATATTCTATGTGATGGGGTCTCATGCTGCCCGACTCCTAACTTCAAGTCTTTGTTATTTACGTACATATATTCATTTTGAGCATCATTAACAAATTAAAGATAATGACACGTAATTAAAAATATGTATGATTTTAAAATTTTATGATAACATGTTATCATGTATATAAAATATACATTATTACTATATTAAATATAAATTTTACAAATATAGAGTATAAATCTAGTCAAAATAATTATTAGTGGAAAACAACATGTTCAGTTCACTTTTGAAAACACTTCATATGTACAAATAGTTGTATTTCTACATTACCTCATAAAATATAGGATTCACAAATATAGACGAAATCAGAAGAGCTTGGAATGGCCGTATTTTATAAAAGATAAAATAAAATTAGTGAC